TAAGAGTTTTTGTAATATAGGCCTACAAATGAGAAGAACAGCATTATTTTTAGGTAGGAATAACCTTTCATGTAAATGGCATTCAATGTACATGATCTCTAGTATCAAACTCTATTGCAAATCATCATCTGTTAAGCTGATCTGCAATGAGATGATATACATTTCATCTTTGTAAATATATTTTGCACACACATAGGTACTACCAAATACTGATAGCAGTTCACGTGATAGTAATTGGGTACATGTATCACTTGGAAATCATATATAGAATTTTTTAAAAGATTTTCTTTATGTATTTGACAGAGAGATAGAGAGCACAAGCAGGCAGAGCGGCGGGCAGAGGGAGGCTCTCCACCAAGCAGGGAGCCTGATGCAGGTCTTGATCCCAGGAGCCTGGGATCATGACCTGAGCTAAAGGCAGACGCTTAACTGACTGAAGCACTCAGGCGCCCCGTATATAGAATTTAGGAAAGTCTTAATGAGGTGTATATTTTGGCTTATTATTTTTTGAGACTTTAATTATTTATTAAAGACAAAGAGAGCAAAAGAGAGCATGAGCAGGGGAAAGAGGGAGAATCAGGCTCCCCACTGAGCAGGGAGCCTGACGTGGGCATCCATCCCTGGGTTCACAATGTGAGCCGAAGGAAGACTCTTTTAGCTTATTATTACATTGAGGATTAATTCATTTCCATTGAATATTACGTGGAAGCTCCTCAATTGCACAGAATTTTGGAAAATGACAAGTTCATTATCATTCACCTCAAATTCCAACAGATTATATATTCCCTGCAAATTTATGGGAAAACAAGATTTCACTTCTTGCTTTAACTTTTGACTAATTGGCAAATGTGACTAGCAGCTAGATGGCAATGCCCACATCCCCGTCTTCCCCTTAAGGTACTTTCCACACTTTAGAACCTGGTGTCTGAGAATGGACGCACCTTTGCATTACAAAAGTAGTCTTAGTTGATACTAATGTGAAAGAGTATAACTGTATATACCTATAAGGCCCTGATTTTGAAATTCATCTACTTTTCTTGCATCACATAAGATTAATCTGTTTTTTTTTCTCAACCAATTAAATGAAAAAGCAACTTTTAGCATACAAGACCCTCAAAAGCGGGCAGTGGGCCTGATGGAGCCCATGAACCACAGTTTGCCGACTTCTGATCTATAATATTGCTTTTCTAGCCAGGCTGACACAATCCAGAATCTCAATTTTAATAAGGTAGAAATTATGACTTCATCTACCAATCAGAGATTCAGAGCAAGCACAATGCTGGGACTGCCTTCCTATCTGATATGCTGTACGTGATTCTCCAGCTAGAATTCAGATGCCCTGCTTCTAAATGTCGAGTTTCCTGCCACTGTGATAGAATCATGAAGTGTTTCTTTCTGTTTGAAAGACAGAGTTTGAAGGCTAACGGACTTCCTTCTGTCCCGTTGTCCCCTCTCAAATCTCATCTTGAGTTGTACAAGCCTGAGGGGAGAATGGTGCTGAGCTATAGTCAATATGCTATCACAAGAGAATGAGTCAGTGCTTTGAGGATGACATCTGTCCAGTTCCACAGGCTCACCAAGAGAAGAACTGTCCATGTACTAATGAATCATATAGATGCACAACCTACTAACAAAATTCTATTCACATGGTTCAGCAAACAAATATGCAGAGCTACCTTTCAGCCCTATTAATTCGCTTTAGCTGGGCACAATTATGCAGTGCACAAACCAAGCAACTCTACAGAGCACTCCTGAGACCACAGCCTCTGCTTCTTAACAAATATCTCTTGATTTCATCCCTATTGCTCAGAGCCCTCAAATAGGAACTCTGCTCATGACCTCCATTGAAGAATAGCTTCAAACACAATAAAGGAGGAAGAAATATGGTATCTCCTAATCATGACAAAGATGATATTCTATACTCTATTTTCCATGTGAGTCTGTAAAGAGGTGACATGGCAACAAGGACAGGGCAATGAGAATGGTAATGCCCTGCTGCCATTGAGAAGAACACAGCTATTACGTACTTGTTAACAGGAGGGTGCTACCAATGGTAGTCATAGACACACCTGCCCTGTCGTTATTCTCTTGACAAACAATACTAACTTTGTTGGATTAAAAAGAGTAAAGAAAACCTCATCTAAACTGAGAAATTCTCTTACACATACCATTCCATGGTTAGAGTCTGCGTAACCAACAGGAAGAAGAAATGTAAGAATTCTCTCAACAAGGAAGATCATTTTTAATGTAGGAATTCACTTCCTGCTTTAAAGAAAAAGAAGGATGATTTCTCCTTGCAAGCAACAACCACTGCTTGCAGCCAATGAGACACTACCACAACCTCAAACTGTCCTTCTCCACTGAGCATTTGTTCAAAACAATCCTCCCCAAGCTCCTCCTAATGCATAATAAAAGCAGACCTTCTTTTTGCCTCTTCAGACTCAGCAGTGGTTTGCCATAATTTGCTTTGTCCCGAATGGCAAATCTTCTGCTTTTCTCAAATAAGCTCATTTTGCTAGTAAAATAACTGGCTAATTTTTGTTTAAGGTTGACGAGTGCACTAGTAGAGTTATTAATTCAGAATAATGATAAAATTAAAAATTCTTAGTCAGGGGCCAGGGAGAAGGGCAGAGGGAGAGAGGGAGAGAGAATCTTAAGCAGTCTCCACACTCCATGAAGAGCCCGATGCAGAGCTTGATGTCACGTCCCTGAGATCCTGACCTGAGCTGAAATAAAGAATCTGATGCTTAATTGAGCCCCACCACTGCTGGTTTTCAATATCAACACCTCAGTGAAGCAAACTCTCCAGGGCCTGGTCAGGGATATGAATCTACCATTGTATGACATCTATAAGGAAGGGGCCCTGATTTAGTTCCTTGGTTCCTAAAACCCTGTACAATTTCATAGGTTTTCAGTATCATAGAAAGCAAAGAGAAAGACAAAACACTGTCTTTGATGGAGGCATAATTTTGGTCATTCATTTTTTAAATTTTCTTAACCTATTAGGAACAAGTTGATTTTAAAACTTTTATGGAAGTTTAATGGACAAATTAAAATAAAGGCAACATTTAAGAACAAAGTTGTAGAACTACAACAGCCACAGAATGAACGAAAATCTATTACCTATTTTATTTATTTATAATTTATTTCTGGTTAACATACAACATTAGTTTCAGGTATACAACGTAGTGATTGAACCTTTCTATACCTTATGCA